CCTCGAGGTCCTTTCGGTTGAGGGGAATGGCCTCGCCGTCGAAATCAGCGCGGTGAGGGGCACCGGCAATGCTAAGGATGGTGGGAGCAAGATCAACGTGAGTGGTGACGATCTCGGAAACCTCACCCTTGGGAACACCAGGACCGCGGATGATGAGGGGAATGTTGATGTCCTCCTCGAAACCGCACTCCTTGCCGGGGTTGCGACGGTGCTGGCTGATGGAGTATCCGTTGTCGGTGGTGTAGATAACGAAGGTGTCATCGAGAAGGTTGTACTTCTCGAGACGCTTGACGACACCTTCAACCAGCTCATCGACCGACTGCAGGGCTCTCAGACGCTGGCGATAAAAGTGATCATTGTAGTCGATGTTTTCCTGGGTAAGCTGCTTGCGCTTACGAACCCAGTTGGCCCCGGTGGGGAAGTCAGGGTTGAAGTTGGCGTTACGGGGGATCTTAACGTCCTTGAAGAGGTGCGCGTGGCGCTTGGCGGGGATAGGGGGGCTGAATTGGACGAGGTCCTCGATCCCGTCGAGGTCATCCCAGTTGGGGTCCTCGGTTAAGTCGATCGAGGCAACGTTGCTGTGGGGGGCAACGGGAGCAATGCCCAGGAAGAATGGACGGCCATTACCGGCATTGACAGCATCGTCAAGAAAGCCGAGAGCTTTTTCGGCGAGGACGTCGACGGTGTGCTGACCCAGATAGCTCTTGGGAGGCTCCTTATTACGCTGGTAGGTGGCGTTGAGGTAGTTGTAGGTCCAGGGGTCAAGCAGGAAGTCTGTGCCGTTCCATGCTTCTGGGTAAGGGGCGTTGTAGTTGTCTGTGGTGTGGGCGTTGAAGAGCTTGCCGGTGTAGTACGTGTTGTAGCCGGCCTCCTGAAGCCATACGGGGAGGTAGTTGCTGTTGAGACCCTGTCTAATGAACTTGGGGTAACCACCGTGAGGTGGGTTGACGTCGGTGACGTTTGTGTTGTGGGCTTGCTTGCCGGTCAAGATGGAGACTCTGGCAGGGCAGCAGATGGCAGTGGTGCAATAGTGGCGCTTGTAGAGGGTGCCCTTGTCGATGAGGTGCTTCTTGATCAAGGGGATGTAGTCCAGAGAGTTCATGTGAACATCTTGATCATCGGTGAGCACGAAGACAATGTTGGGCTGCTTGCCCTGGGGGCCCCAACCGGAACTGAGATCATTTCCGAGGGTCTTTTGGTGTCCACCGCTTGCGAGGACTGCTGAGGGCAGACCTGCCGCAAGGGCAATTCCTGCAAAACGCATGATGTTAATGAGGAGGTTATTGAGAAATGAGTGAGGACTGAACCAGACTGACCAACAATAACAAACACATGATGGCAGCAGTTAAATATGAAATATGAAATATGCGTGGTCGTCGACTTCCCCAGCGACGTACCCGCAGACCGGAGCCGTTCTCGGGATGGAACAAGTTGCCGAGGGGTTCTTGTGCCTAGCTCCGTTGTAAGTCGGTGGTGTTTGATGTCCTTGATGATTGCGTGCTAGCTAGCGAGGATTACAAAACCCTTGACCCCCACATTCTAGTACCATTGAGCCAAGACCTCATTTGTCCCAAACACCAGGAATATGGGGACCATTGCGGGGAATTTTTTGACGTTTTGGCGCCAATGCATCCCGTCTTGACATTGGTGTTGCAGAGATGCAGGGGCGCTAACTAATAAAGAGGCCCCAAATGGGTCGATTGTACAGCTCAAGGGTGACTTGCGACATTGCCTCGACTATGTCGTGATCGGTAGCGAACCACGCCGACATATGCCATCAGCGTATCGGCGATAAGTCTTTGTTCCCGGAGAAGGGGCTGCATTGGAGTTGAAACCGAGGGGTCGGGTTGGGATGGAATTCTTGACTAGGGAGATCCGCCATTTGAGAAAATTCTGTTCAAGTCCCGTCAACAAAACTCTTGTTGCCGTCTGTTGGTGGGAAAGTTGCTTTGAGGAAATTCTGATTCTTTCGTATTTTGCGTCTTGGTTTTTAACTTTTGATTTCAAGTTTGATTAACTTTTGATTTCAAGTTTGAGTTTGATTTCGATGGTTCAAAGACTTGAATCGGCAGGCACGCTGCCTACCGAGCAGTCGCCACTCCTCTCAGAGACGGAACGTCCAAAGGTTGGGGCTTTGAATCCTTCTCCCGAGCAGGTTCTAAACTCTGTCAAGAAAGTCGGTCAAGATGAAGAGAGTGTCAGAAGTGGAGAGGTTGAGACAGGAACAGGAATTTCAAGGGCGCAGGTAGTACGGATTATCTCTGTTCTTCTCATCGGTAAGTACTGCTTCTTCTTCTATGTAGCTGCTTGAACTCCTCCATGCTAAGATCTTCAAACAGGTATCTTCGTTGCACACACGGATGGGTCAATTCTGTTGGCAACACACTCCAACATTGCGTCAGAATTTAATGCTCTGGAGGATTCAACATGGCTGATCACCAGTTTTGCCCTCGCCGGAGCTGCCACGCAGACCATTTACGGCAAATTGAGTGATATTTATGGCCGAAGAACGCTGGTCCTGATTGCTTACGGTATTTTCGTCGTTGGTTGTGCGATCGTGTATGTACCCTTCTCCTCTTCCATGGAAAGTCGGCTGACAGCCGAATCAGGGGTGTTGGCCAAACATACTCGCAAGTCGTTCTGGGTCGCGTCATCTCCGGAGCAGGCGCTTCCGGAATGGCCGGCCTAGTTTCCATCCTCATCACAGATCTTTTGCCCATCCGCGAAGTTGCCCAATGGCGCGCCTACGTCAATTTGGTTGCAACTTTTGGCCGCAGTATTGGTGGTCCCCTCGGTGGCTGGCTTGTTGATGTTATCGGATGGAGATGGTCCTTCTTCGGCCAGGTCCCCATTATTCTGGTTGCCATCGTCCTGGTCGGTGCCTATCTGCCCAACGTCATCTCGAAAGATTCAGATTCCATTACTTCAGTCGAGAGGAACGCAGAAGAGCCCCAGAAGAGCAAGTTGAGCAGGATCGATTTCAAGGGATCGTTCATCTTTGCCATCATGATCTTGGCAATCCTTGCCCCCATTGAGCTTGGAGGCAACAAGTATCCATGGTCACACCCGATCATCATTGGCACCTTCTTCGTTGGCATTGTCCTCATCTACGTGTTTATCAAGGTAGAGCAAGACCAAGAAGAGCCGATTTTGCCTTTAGAGATCTTCCACAAGCGGGATGCGGTGTTTTCGTTTCTTATTCTTGGACTTCAGACCGCTGCTCAGCTTGGTGTAAGTTTTCCCGGAATTTCAACTTTGGAATGCGCAGAAAATTAACCAAAATCGCAGCTCATGTTCTCTGTACCTCTGTACTTTAGAATAACACAGGGAGCCACAAACACGGCTTCCGGCGCCCATCTGGTTCCAGCTGTATTCGGCAACGCTATTGGTGGTATTCTGTCAGGAGTTATCATTAAGCGATCCGGCCGGTACAAGTCACTCATCATTTTTGCCGTTACCTCTTCCTCCTTGAGCTACCTTCTTCTAATGCTCAGATGGCACGGAAACACTAACGTCTGGGAGTCTCTCTATATCTTTCCTAGCGGGTTTGGTACTGGTATTGCTCAGAGTGCTGTCTTTATCTCGCTCCAAGCAGTTGTCGACCCTGCTCACATGGCTCCTGCCGTCTCTTTCATGTATCTTTCCAGCACCATTGCTTTAACGATGGGTCTATCCGTCTCTAGCGCGGTTGAGGGTGTAGCACTCCGCTATATGCTCAACCATAAGTTGGCCGGTTTGGGACTCGGCGCTGAGCAGGTTCAAAAGATCATCTCGGATGCTATTTCTGATGTTGAGTTTGTCCATCGTATTACCGGGCCAGTCAAGGATGCTGTTGTATCATCTTATGTGTATGGACTGTGGTGGACACATGGTAACTTCCTTTCTAGCCAACCCCCCCTTTCTTAGACCAATAGCTAACTTTGTTGACCAGGCGTCTCTTTCTTCTTCTCCTTCTCTGCCTTTGTCCTGGCTCTGTTCATCAAGCAGAGACGCCTTGATGGGCTTTCATCGTAAACATTTGATGATTACCTTTGTTTTATAACAATGGCTGTGATGTTTTTCTTGTGCTGGGTGAAAACGAGAGTTTTGGCATACGTATGTTGGAGGGGGATAAAAGCTTTATGTACTTAGATACCATACACGCGAGCGTTGTTTTATGAGCTAGAGGTGGTATTTAGCTAGACGAGCCACACGAGCCACAACACTTGTAGTCAATTGCTTACCTATGCACGGCATACGGCTTGTGTAATGTGACCGTGTAACCCTGGGATGGATTTTTGTGGTGGATGGTTGTGTACCAAGCTGTCGGAAGCGAGGATGATACCAACACACATGAGGCATGTCGTTTAGGATAGAGTGGGGGTGCTGTATGGCACAACATGGAGCTGACTACTCGTTAAAAGGATTATAGTCCTCTTCTCATCTCCTACCCATGGTTACTAACCCGAGTTACGCCTTATACAGTAGGTACCATGGTATATCGTCTCACCTCAAACGCCACCTGAACTTTATTCCTGCTTAGGTATATAACTCCCGACTCAACCGATTTTTTTTTCTTCGACTCTTCTTTCCTTCTGGACGCCACGAAAATTAACCGACGAAGAATCAAGAAATCGGGGAGATCTCTACTTACTTTCATTTGGGTGCACAAACCATAGGTATGTAGTTGGAAATATCTCTATGGATATATTAAAAAAATCCCAGTTTAATCTTTGGTTGTAATTAAATAACACAAACACATGTTGTCTTTCAGCTCGTTCTGCGAATAAAATAAAGACATGTCACAATCCCAACAACCAATTGATCATTTCTCAACGAAACCCATCTCCTCTCCCAGAAACTACTGTCACATCAAAGAATTTCTCCTCCTGCTACTTCACCTCATCTAATACCTCACTATAGCTTTTATAGTGCTGAATATATTAAAACAAAGATTAAAAAATTGCCCAAAAAATGAATCCCAAATCAGAGCCTGATGGAGTTTATGAGTTGATTTATTATGCGGTTTGTGTGGATCGAACACACGACCTTCAGATTTACCCGTCAAGGTAAGAGAATGAAGTGGAACTTCAGTCTGACGCTCTCCCAACTGAGCTAAACCCGCTTTCTTTTTTTGTTTGTTTGCTTTATTTGTTGTTGTAATTTGTTGAGGTATTTGCCTCATATGAAGATGGTGATTTTGTGGTTGTGTGGTTGTGTGGAGATGGAGATGGAATGGAGAGCTTGATGGATGGTGGGGTCAATATTGAGGGGCCGAGTTAGGGAAAGCTTGGAAAGTAACAGAGAGTAAATGTCTGAAACGTAGGTTTGTTGAATTGAGGATGTTGTGGTTGTTACAGGGCGCGAAAATGTTGCAAGGCTTGTAAGAACCAAAAGTGCCGAATGAACAAGACGGCAATCGCTTGTTGGTGCGAGCAACCCAGGGGCCAGAGAGCAAAGCGGCATCTTGAACAAATATCTTCTTATTTTATATTCACGCCAAACAATGCAAATAAAAAACAAACCACAAGCAGCACCGCTATTATTTATACACGTTTACTCCTTTTTCTTTTCCGCCCCCTTCTCTGCCCTCTCTCTCCTTCGTTTCCTCCACGCCTTAAACTCATTAATGGCGCCCATGATCAAGGGAACTGCCACTGGTCCCAAAAGCGGCAAGTAAACCGCAATCTTGTGCTCATCAGGGAAGAACAATTGTCCCACCATGCTCTTCTCAAAGAAGGCCCGCTCAGCCTCGGCCTCCGCTATCTTGGCATGTTCCAATCCATCAAGACCACCGAGAGTATCACAAGCCAGCCTTAAATGAGACATGGTCTTGGATACCCCATCAGCTACGCTGCTAGGGATGGAAATGGATGGGAGAGCAAGAGCAAGACGAGCCAGAGAGCCAAGAGTTGAAGAGGCGCGAAGAAGTAGATCGGCCGAGCGAATACGAGTAAGAGTAGAAAGTCTGAGCGGGAGAGATCCCGATTGCGGTGTACCCAGCAAGGAGAAAAGATGCGAGGTAAAAGTCAGTAGAGGTTGTTTAAGCGTCTCGGCCGAGACGTGGGCAGTGTCATATGGCTGGGAAAGCAAGTAAACAGTACCCCATTGAGGGATCAGCCAGGACTGAGAGCTCTCGGATTCTGGGGATGTGATAATCGTTTGGTTTCCAACAAACACAATGAAGTTGATAGTAGGTGCACCCCCGATCGAAGGCGACAAAGGCCATTCGGCAGCATTGATGAACGAAGAAAGGTCTTGTTTCTGTAGAACATCATTTTGAACACCAGGTGCCGCATACAGCTGAACTTGGGTATCAATCGTAAAGTTGTGGATAGGCGACAGGACTTCCAACACGGGCTTCATATACTGGTCGATGGCCGTCTCGATATCCCAGCTGCTTGGCAGAGCGCCGCTCGTAAACAGCGAGAACGTGAGATGGTAGGTCGGCGCGTACTTGAGTGATCTCGTGGTTCGCTTGGCAAGTGACTCGGCGGTTTCAGGAGATAAGCCTAGAGGTCGGTGCTCCGAGGGCATCGAGTTCGTCGACAACAAATACGAGATCGTAGCCTGTTCCTCGGCAAAGGTCGACCTCAGTTGACTAGCAATGTATGTGGCAAGCGCTGACGACGAAGCAGTAGGCGAGGGAATATTATTCGGGGGATACGTAATGTCGAGAATCGGCTTGTAAGGGTCGAGGGCTGCGGTCATTGCCTCACCGGGAGACAGGCGGATGGTGAGAGCACTGCCATTGTCTGTCGCACTCGCAACTTCGTCGCCAAGAGGCGGAGACGATTGAAGACGAAGATGGTGCCCTGCGAAATCATTAAGATCGTCAAGGGCGTGTTGTGTGAGGCGAAGCAGGTTCTGGGCTTCTTGGTCTTGGAGAGAGGTGGCCTGGATGGAGATGCGCAGAGGGAAGACAGGACGGCAAGCCTAGACAAACGCCATTAAAGTTAGAAGCTAATCAAGGAGAAAGAGGAAATGGTAATTGCTGACCTTCCCGTCAGACCAGTCTAACATCTCCTGCAAGGGCAGGTCGGCCCTGTAGATTGATGTTGTTTTCCACCATATTGGGAGACCCAGGAGGAGGACGATCAGCCAAAATGAAAGAATGACATAGCCCCGGCGCCGGATGTCTGCCGGCTTCTCTGGGGGAGGTTGCTTGAACTCTGAAGTCGCATTGCTAACTGCTACTGGTGCCGGATCTGGCGCATCGTCGTTCAGTGATGGTGGTGGGTGTTGGGCAGACATGGCGATGTGGACTGCTCGTCCATTGAATTTGATACTGCTGTCTATTGCCAGTGTCCCTTCCGACAAGTGCTGGCACGCCCCCCAAACCCGCCAACGCGACACAGTGGATCAACAATTAATCAAACCAAATTTCCCGTATTGGTTAGACCTCACGTGAAGATAAAGATATTTCAGGGACCGATAAGCTTTTCAGGTACCCATGTGTCCAACAGGGTTCACCATGGTCAGAGCTTCCTTCTCTGCAAAACATTGCACGACCGTTGGAAACCAAAATCGAAGTTTCCATCTTTCTAGATTGTTTTGTCCCGCTGATTTGAAACTGCCCCAGACAATGGTTGTTTCTTTTCCGGCCTATCTTCTCTGAAACCAAAAAAAGATGCTCAACACCGCCTCTCCAACGGAGAGTTCCTCCATATGAAGAAGCAATCCGTCTCCAACGGACTGCTCGCCGGCTGAGGCAATTTGGGGCGCTATACCTTCGTGTTGTTTCCGCACTCCTGTTTTGTTTGTTTCCAAGATCAACCCAAGTCGGATATGGACGGTCGTTGATGCCCACAAAAGTCGCTTAAAACCTGGGGAGCGGCTTCGCGTCCATGTGGCGTCCCGCGAGCCGAGGTACACATGAAGGGGAATGCTGATTGTGCCTGTCGCCAAGGACCCTTTGCTTCAGAGAGGGATTGTGCAAGAACCCGGATGCGCCGCGAAAGATGCTATGTTCCGCATTGCAATACCTCCATTTTGAAGTTCAGTTTTCGTCACTTCTCACTTCTCTCCACACACAATCGTTCAACATCCTTTTTGGACACCATTTGTTCTCGTTCGGCCGGCGGCTTCTATACCCCTGCTAGCCCCAGGTTCTCGTGGGGTCACCCCATGCGATTCTAGGAACGGTGAAGTTGAAGCTTCCAAATCTGGGGAGAAGCCGTTCCACCATCATCCGTCCTTGTATCAGTTGATTTGACCGTTCCTGGTCCCTGATTTATACTTTATAGCCGTCCTCTCCCACCTAATTATCCACCGGAAGGTAGACTTGCTCTTTTTTGTTCCCTCCCAAACAACATCAACCATGGCTGCTTGTAGGTTTTCTTGTGTCCGGATGCGCGTCCTCGTCCCACATGTTATACATTAGACTAACATGAACCTGCACTCATAGTACCCATGCCTCTTGTTGCGCCGGCTTTGGGTGCTGTCGCAGCTTACATCAACGCTCGATTTCAACTCTACTACGACCTCAATCTTCTGGGTTCCATTGTACCAGCTGTGATCAACCAGGCTTGGTGGACGTATCGTGGTCGCCTGAACTTCTTTTACCGCTTCGAAGATCTCGCTACCTCCAAATCTAGCCAGAACCGACACTTCTTGCGATTTGAAGATAAAACCTACACTTATGAACAAGCTTACGACATCGTCTTGCGATATGCAGGGTGGCTCAAGGATAAGCGGGGCGTAAAAAAGGGGGAGATGGTCGCTTTGGATTTCCAAAATACCGACACCTTGCTTTTCTTGGTTCTCGCATTGTGGTCCCTCGGCGCTGTACCGGCACTTATCAACTACAACCTGGTCGGCAAGTCTCTTGTTCATTGCATAACAAAAGCGAAGGCGAGACTTATTCTGATCGATCCCACGGTCGCTGGAAATGTCGAGGATGATGTGCGCGCCGGGTTGAGCGATACCGTCTTCGAGGTGGTCACTCCTCAGCTTGAGAGTCAAATTCTCATGCTGGAACCCTACAGAGCTCCGGATGAAGTCAGGAGCGATGCCGCTGGCAAAGGGATGGCTATGCTTATCTACACCAGCGGAACCACAGGTCTACCCAAAGCTGCGATAATATCATGGTCCAAGGTTGCTATTCCTAGTGGATTCACCTCGCGGTTCGTCGGAACCACCAAGAACGACTGCTTCTACACTGTGAGTTTACTGCAGAATCCCAGTGAAACCCCATCAAACTAACCAATGTAGGCCATGCCGCTCTATCACAGCACTGCTATGCTACTGGGTTTTACGCATACCTTGTCGCAGGGTGCTACTTTTGCCATGAGCCGCAAATTTTCAACAAGTCAGTTCTGGGATGATGTTCGAAAACACGATGCCAACATTATCCAGTATGTTGGTGAAACTTGCCGTTATCTCCTCTCCGCTCCTACTCGCCTTGACCCCAAAACTGGAGAGAATTTGGATCGCAAACACAATGTCCGAGTTGCATTCGGAAACGGTCTCAGACCTGACGTTTGGAATAAGTTCAAGGAACGGTTCGGCGTCGAAACCATTGCCGAATTTTATGCTGCTACCGAAGGGAGCTTCGGCACCTGGAACAAGAGTCGGAATGATCACAGTTTGGGTGCTGTCGGACGCAACGGCGCGTTATACAATATCATCCTCGGTCACGCAGCGGCTATCGTTCGCGTGGATATCGAGACAGAGCTGCCGTACAGGGATCCCAAGACAGGACTCTGCGTGCGCGCCGCACCAGGTGAACCAGGCGAGCTACTCTTTGCGCTGCCTCCGAACGATGTCGAGGCACGATTCCAGGGCTACTTCGGCGACAAGGACTCGACTTCGAAGAAGATTATGCGGTCAGTTCTCAAGAAGGGCGATGCGTGGTTCCGTACCGGTGATGTGCTCCGAACCGATGACGAGTACCGGCTATTCTTCAGCGATCGAATTGGCGATACTTTCCGGTGGAAGAGTGAGAACGTGTCGACGGCCGAAGTTGCGCAGGTCGTCGGATTGCACCCATCGATACAAGAGGCCAATGTTTACGGAATTGAGTTGCCGAATCATGAAGGCCGTGCTGGATGCGCCGCCGTTGTATTCAAAGCACCGGCTTTGGATTCAGCTGGCGTACCCACCGGCGAGACCCTCAAGTCATTG